ATTTGCCCAAAGACAACACATCGGGTGCAGAGAACACTGTCAGATTTCTAGAAATTGAGGCTGATCATCTATCCGTTTCTGTGTACACTGGATCCTGCTTTGTGTCTCGAGAGTGTCCAGTAACAGACCATGCCCAATGGCGTGGCTTCCCCAAATGTGGTATCAATAGACCCGAGGAGATGGCCACGGACGGAACTACAGTTTAGGGGATACTGTTGTGGGACTGACATTGACTTTTTCAGGCTGTGTGGCTCTGGGCTGAATGACCTACTCTCTCAAACTCATTTCTTCCCTCTGGCGAGCAGGAGGGCTGGACTTGGAAATCTCTAAGAGACTCCCAGCTAGCTCCGTCATGTGACAGCCAAGCGCTGGATGAGGGCTCCACTGGGTACCACCCACAGGCTCTTCCTTCTGAATTTGAACTACGGGTTTTCCATGATTTAAAACACATACAGATCTACAGTGTTCTCTTCTAACCAGGTGGTGCTGGGATTTCTCAAAGGAGGCCAAAGCTGGGCAGGTTTCCAAATCAGGAACTGAGTGAGATAGGGGTCTGGAGAGATTTTTAAATTAAACAAGATCATTCTCCCTCTCTCTCCCTGAAGACGGTTCAGGTAAACAGAGGATCCAAGTTACTCTGAGAAGGGGATGGTCCTCGAGACGGAACAGGATTTTTTGACTCTTCTACCTCATCCTGGATTTTAATAACAGGAACAATGATTTAGCTTTAACTGAGCACGTTTTCTGACCTGGACACTGTGCTAAGTGCTTTGCATGCATTATCCCATTTACTCTTCCAAATGACCTTAAAAGGGGGGTGTGTGTGCTATTATTGTCTCTGCCTTGAGTGTGGAGGAGCTGAGGTTTTAGGGTAAGTGACTTCAGAGCAAGAATTCAGCCCGTTAGTGGGTAGAGCTAGAGTTCGAACCGGAGTCCAACACCAGAGTCCGCACTGCTCACTCTCATCTTTGTCTGATTGTGGAAGCTTTCCCGGGGCCAAGCAGCCCCCAAGTCCTCCCTCTCCCTGCCCCTCTCCCCGCCCCCCCCCCACTTCCCCCTAACTATGGCTCTTCTTATGGCCCATTGTTTATTGTACCTTCTAAACAATAGCTAATGAGTGTGTATTACATGGTCGGGAGAGCCAGGGGTGATTTTATTCCCTGAAACAGAGATGAGGTTGTCACACACAAAGGTTAAGTGGCTCTGCTGAGGTCACAGAGCCAGCCCGCAGTCCAACAGCTCGGAGCCTGCCACTTGGGTTCTTAAACTGACCCTCAGGCCTTCTGGCATCAGAGTTTAATTAAGAGAGTTATTTCCATTTTCCTTTCGATCTCCAATTTGCCATTTTATTGCTGCTTGATAATGGTAGATATCAGAGCCCCAGGCTGTTTTCTGCCCCACTGTGTTTTTTTAATGACTCAACTTATCACAGAGAAACCACTTGCTTTAGAGTGAAGCTTCAGAGGCCTGTTTCTAGGTCCCTGTGTGACGGGGACTAATGCCTTTTCTCAGAGAAAAAACAACCACAAACGCAACTCAGACAGGTTGTTAATGGAGGATTTTTTTTTTTTTTTAATCTTACATTTAAACCAGTAAATCAACATCTGTGAGTCATAAACTTGTTCTGGATCAGCCGTTAGTGGTCGGAGTGTTTTTGCACCTACCTCCAATACAGCATATTTTAGCTCAAAACTCAGAGGTTCTTTGGTTTGGTGAAGTTTAAGATTCAAGAAAGAGACAAATAACTTCTAGCACGCTTGTGGAGAGGGACAGTCTGTCTTCCATGACTGTTTGAAACTCCGTGTATTTTTCTGTTTCTTTTTTAATTGAGGCTGGTGTGGAGTCAAGGGGCGGAGTAGTAAAGAGAAAGTTTGTGTTTTGGACATCTATGCGTGTGAGGGAATTCCTATAAAGAATGTGACTAGTTCCTTGATATCATTAATGTCTAACCTCACATCCGGGTCCCCCAACTCTTGCAAGCCTGTTTTGATAATCATTGACATGATGTTCCTCTTTTACGGAGTTTTAGCACTTGCTGGGTGTAATTCCCTAGGTCTTAGGAATGTTTAAAAATACAATTCTGTTCTCTCCCAATTGTAGGAGGAGCAGACTGTTGCATTACAAAAATAAGCAAGGAAGTATTTCCTTGGTTGATTTTTCTCAAGTGCCTCACAAGTTGAAACCACTTGCCTAAGTAGCTGGAAGGCAAGGCCCAGTTGCTCTTGTTTTGCTGGTGGGGAAACTGAGGCACAAGTGAACCCGAGTGGACATGAATGCTGGGCAATAGGGGTTCTGCTCTGTCATGGAGGACAAAGGACTGACCTAGGGGTGGACTGGTTGACATGGTTTAGTTCCTCTTCACAAGCCATAGCAGAAACAACTCACTTAAACCTTTGCCTTAGAGAAAGCTGGTGGTAAGGTAGATGCCCCTGGTGACCAGGAAGTTGATAGTTTATTACTGAATACATATTTCCTGAGTGTCTGCAATGTGTCAGGCACTGGGCTAGGGATTGCTTTTTAGGCTTTGGTAAGAGCCATAGAAGATTTACAAGAATCTACTCCTGTCGCAAAAGGAATGAAAATTTCATTTATCAGTGTTGATTTGATACTTATAGGCCTGATTCGATTATTAATATCCCACATTTGTGAACATATTTTAACTTGTTTACGTCAGTGCTCTTTGTCCCAAGCAAAGTTTCAGTTAGATCTGAAGTTAGATGCATGATTTGTGATAACTTCACTGTTCACAATCAGCCTCAAGTACAAAGAGATTTCCTGGAGGTCTTTGGTGGTCCCTGGCTATCTCCCCCACCCTCCTGTCTTAAATAATCCCCTTCCTTGATTTGGACTTTCACATATTTTGAGCTTCTGTGCTGCAGGACTGGGCTACAAAGGGTGATGGATAGTTAGGTGAGATATCATTGTTGCAAAACCAAAGGAGTAAGTTTCCCTACTGCTGGCGTGGAGTGGAAAGTGTTTCTGGTTGGATTCTGGAGGGTTCTTTTAGTGTCTGATGGTGGAGGGTGTTGGCAGCAGAGTTCAGGCTGGTCTAGGGGAGAAAGCTGAGGAAGATTCTGGGGAAGAGAAAAAAGACTGGCTCTGAAGCAGCTTTGTTTGCAAGTAGAAAAGTAAGTACTTACACTTGGATTTAAAAATAACAGCATTTTCTTAACACAACATCAATAAAACAAGATTCCCCCAAAGCAGCTCTCGATTTGCTCAGTTCTTTTGCTGATGTATTCAGAGGAGGCAAAGCAGAGGATGGGTTCAGGATCCTTTCCTCTGCGGCTCCTTCGGACGTGTAAATATCCAGTTCATCCTTCCAGCCCTCTCCCCCGGCTTTTCCCAGGATCAAAAGTGTCTGTTCTTGGCATCTGGAGGCCAGCATTGTTTTCTCATACCTTTTGGAAACAGCTGGATTACAACAATCCTACAAAAATTAGAATTGTCACATACAAGTATTTTTCTCTGGTCACTGAAGGACGGGCATGATCTGAAGTTTGAACCTGGAACCAGAGATTGATTTTCTGTTCCTAGCTCCTTTTCTCATCTGCTGTGGGAAACAGGCAAGCTAACCAAGGCTTCAAGGAGACAAAACTGGGATTAGGTGAAGGTAAGCAGTTGTGTTAAAACTGATCTAAGTCAGTTGCAGGCAAGTGGTAGTTGTTCAACAGAGGCTTAGAAATCAGGAAACAGTATTAAAAATAGCTTCCTTTGAGGTTGTTCAGAAAGATTGTTGTTTAATCTTCTAGTTAATCAAAGGTAGATCTCAATGTCTGGATCTCGCTATGCACATGTATGTCTGTGTATGTTGCTCTAGATTTACTGGTTGATCTGTTAATTAGAACAACTAGCTCCACTCATGATAACCAACATTATTAGTGCAAAGTCATGAATTATTGGGGATCGTGTTATGGTGTCCAAAGTGTCTGGAATTCCCAAATGGGACAGGGGTTGTGCACTGATTCTGTCACAGCTGCGAATGATGTACTCCAGAAATTCAAAACCACAGAGCCTCTGCGCCGCTTTTTTTGCTGGTGGTAGTGGTTGTAGTAGGGTTGTCAGTTTTATCTAGTGGAGGAGAGTCTGTGAAAGGAAAGGCCAACGGTGACATAATTAGAAGAATAGAGTAATAGCTTCCCCTTCCACCCAACCCCTGCTGTAGGTAAACTGGACGCTTATGGAAGCCCATGACTGCATTCCAGTTTGGGGGCCCTGTTCTCTGCTCTCCCAATAATACATAAAAAGCATTTGGGCCTTTGTTTTGGGGTCTCCAGGAGGCTGCCTTGGGCTTGATCCTTCTCAAAGGGCAGCGAGAATTCTGCTCAGAACGCTGCCTCTGTCTTTTCTTAACTGATTTCTTAACCATGACACGCGGGGGGTAGGGGGGCCCTGAAAAATCGAAAGCTCCTCCAGAAACACTGCACGATTCCTGACTCACTAACCAGCGAGAGTCCAGGACTCCCAAAGCCCTTAGAGGACACTGGCTGGAGAACCCCCTGCGGCGCTCGCACGCACGCCCCTTCCTCCGCATGCCTCACGTCCTGTGTGTCAGTCTTTGTGAATGAATGATGTACACGCACTCGGAAAACTATGCTGCTACTGGGAAGTGGGGCAGGAGCCGGTGACCAAGTCCTCAAGAATGCGTGGCGAATCAGACGGACTTTCCCGAAAGGGCCGCGGCACCTCTGCACCCAGCCTGCTCGAGCGCGCTGGGCCCTTGCCGGCTGGGGAGCGGGCTCGCCGTCCCGCCGGGTCCGCGCTCAGCCATCCGCGGCCGGGCGCCTGGGCCAGGGCAGAGAAGGCGCGGGCGCGGGCGCGGGTGGCCGCGGAGCTCCGCCCCATCTTCCTTTCGTTTTCGGGCCGCCGCCGTCGATTGGCCGCGGGTATCCGGCCCCGCCCCAGGACCGCCCCCGCCCCGCCGGCCCCGCCCCTCGCTCCCCCGCCTGCGGAGATCCTGGGGGATGGGGGGGGGGCGGGCGCGCAGACCCGGCGGCCCAGGCTCGGCGCCGCGAGAAACGCCCTAAAGAGGCGGGAGAGAGGGAGGGAGGGAGAGCGCGGCTCCGGAGAGCGAGAGCGAGCTGAAGCTGCCTGCCGGCGGAGAGGAGGAGCGGGGCGAGGACGAGGAGGAGCGGGGCGAGGCGCTGGCGAGGCTGGGACCCGGGGCGCGCGCACTTCTCCGCAAAGTGCCAACTTCCCGGGAGAGAGTGCCGGGCGCGCACCTTCTGGGCTCCGGGGAAAAGTCAGCGGGAATTTGAGATCTTAGGGAAGAAAGTCGGATTTCCCCCGTCCCCCTTCCCCTGTTACTAATCCCCATAAAAAAGACAAACAAGAAAAATAACAGCAAACTTGCTATAAGCCTGTCTGCCCCCCACTCCTGGCACCATGAAGGCGGCCGTCGATCTCAAACCGACTCTCACCATCATCAAGACGGAAAAAGTCGATCTGGAGCTTTTCCCCTCCCCGGGTGAGTGGTGACTGTTGAGGCCCCCACGCCGGCTTTCGGCCAGAGGCTGGGGTCCCCTCCGCTTCTCCCCCTTTCCGCTGTTCCCTCCCAGGCAGTGCGTTTCTGCCTGAGCAAGGCGATGCTGGTGGCAGCTGGAGCAAGGTAGAGAAGAGAAGGAGGACTGTTGGTGGCCTGAGATCCCTGTTTGGGGGGTGGTATTTATTTTCACAGCTGTGTTCTTGTGAGTAGTGGGAAAAAGCTTATAGAATGTCCAGCACCCTTATTCCTGCCCCCCCCCTTTTAAAAAAAAATCTTTCCTAATGAGAGAGCATGCTCCGGCCTTATTCCTTAGCGTTAGGGGGGATGGACACTGCGCAGAAGACATCAGCCGCTGCCTCTGCATCCCCCAGAACTGGAGCTGGATGGAGGGCCCTGAGCAGTAAGAGCTGAAACAGTGTCTCACTGGCCGGCCTACAAGCACATTTTCAAACATCTTGCCTTCCTGAGCTTCTCTGTCACATGTCCCTTTGCTATCTAGCTCCTCTTTTCTGGGTTGAGGGCAAGGAGGTGGTAGGAGAACTGAAATGATCATCTTAACTTCTAGAAACATCCCAATTCTACTCATGCAGGTTACTTACTTTATCCAAAGCTTTCTCATCTGCCATACATTTGTCCTCTGGTACCAAAGATCTGTTACAAGAGGGAAAACATCCTGACCCCAAACGTGACTTTGGGTCTTTGGTGGGTGGTGTTATCCAACTCTTTGAAGGATTTAGAAGAAGGGGATAGGCAAGAAATTTGATTTTGTCTTAGACACAATTTTTGATCCTAAAATTGGATCAGTTTTCATTGGCAGTTTCACAGGGTCCAGAAGTCCTAGAATAAAGGCGGTTTGAGAAGAATAGATGTTTTCTTTTAGAATAAGGAACTGCCAGCTATCCTTTCGAGATTAGTGATTTTAGAGGTAAAGGTATATATAATAAGATATACAGAGAAGGGGATGCTTTCTGGAAAATAATTAATTGCAGTGACCTGCTGCTCTGTTGTATCTGATTATTGAGAAGTTTAGCCAGTCTTGCCTTTGGTTAACACTTCCTTGCCCTGCCATCATCACTTGCTTATTTTAACCCTTTCTTCATCTGCTTAAACTTCCAACACAAGCCAAGCTGATGTTCTGTCCTTTGGAGAGCTTCCCGAAATGTTAATGAAGACCTGGCCCTGTCCTCTCCTGTTAGAACCCCTGACATTCAACCCCAGTATTCGGAGTTCTGCTGGGAAGTGCACAAAGAAGGCTAAGCTTGTTTGTTGTCACAAGGATGATGACATGGTCAGAGCAATGCTGAGATCAACTAGAACCTCGGAGACATTTCAGGCACTTAGAGCTACAGTTCAGAAATGATGTCGCTGTGCTGGTTGTGTTTGGGGTTCGAGAAAGCCAGAATGAATTCTGTTAGTCACAGTTGATCCAAGCCATGTATCAAAGAAATGATAGTTGCCAGCAAAGATATAAACTCAACTAATAGGTTCTTTCCTTAAGAATGGCTTGTTTGTATGTGTATTTATGGAGAAAGACAGAGTTGGCTGTCTGGGAAGTATAGTGTAAGATAGGTCAGTCTCCATACCTACAATGGATTTCATGTGCTGGGAATAAAGTGCCCCTGGCAACACATGTTTTAGATCACAGTAAACAGCTGAAGTCATGTTGGGGGGGGTAATTTAATATTATATATTAGAGATTTTGAGCATATGGTGGTGTTATTTTGATTATTGATAAAAAATAAGCCTCAGGGCAAGTAACTTTGCTTAGCATTCCCATCTGTAAAATGGGGACAGTAAGCACTAATGCTACAGTCAACATCTATTGTACAGTCTTTACAGTGCCTCTCTTTTTAAAAAAAGGTTGACAAGATACTGATCAGGTTTTGTAAGCAGCCTTCGGTACAACAAAATTTCAACGGGTCAGAGAAATTGGGCAATTTTCTGCCACTCATCATAATGAGATTTGATCCTCTGGTCCTGTCTTGGGGAAAATAGAGAAACTGGCAAATACATATAACAGTTTTAGTTTTTTTTTTTTTCCCCCCTGGATTTTTTAGTAGGGTATATATGAATATTGTACCCATATCTCAGAGAGGAAAATAGAGGCCCAGAGAAGGTAAGTCACTTACTTAAGAAAATCTTGTAAGTCAGTGGCTAGAGTAAAATTAGTCCCTTTTTTTAACTTCTCAGTGAATGTTGCCTTGAGTAACACTGCAAGTTACTTTTGAAGAGCGCAGCAAAGAAACTTCAGTTGAGGCTTAAGCTTGCAGGTGCACGGCTAGAAGAAACATTGGCTGGGGCTGCCTGCCTTTGTTGGTGGGTGGAGAAGATACTGGCTAAGTGGGGATTTGCTTTGCCCATCAGACCATATAGGACATGTGTTTAAAGTTTAACTTTTCACAGCGTGGCTTTGTGTCCACAGCTGTGACTTAAATATTTTTCAGAATGATTCTTTGGGTCGTTTAGTTTCTTATGTGTGGAGACAACTAGTTTGGGTTCTTATCTGGCTTAAATCATTAAACCAGGATTTCCCTACACCCCACCTCCCCAACCAATATATGGGAGCCAATAGGGAGGCAGTGGGGAAATAGGTTTTGAAACAGGAGTCCTGGATTATTTGCCTGTCTTTGTGGCTAAGACCTGATCCAGAACCTTTATTCTCATTTCTTCTAGATCGAGACCTCCCAGGATTTAACAGCTTTAAGTACCAAATTAACATATATTTTGAAATAACCTGGGAACTGGATATCCCTTGTAAACGTAAAGTGGGTATACCATTTTGATTGCAGTATGTGATTGCAGGGGCTCTCGGGTTTTAAATGGGCTAAAACAAACAGAGACACGGAGAGTGGAGAGTCCACGAGTTCCCTCCTGGTGTGGAGCTTACCGAGAAGGGCAGAGGCTGGGTGCCAAAGCAAATACATTCCCAAGCCGCTTCGTTTTCCCCTTCCTTCCCCATTCCACCTTCTAGGTGAGGTGAGCATAACGTCCAGAGACAAGCAGGAGTTCTAATTGTGGATATTCGCTGTCCTGGCAGGGGATGGGCGGCCACCGCGGACCCATATTGCTCTTAGAGACAGGAAGATTTCTTGCTTTCGCCATCCCTTAGGTCAGTCTTTGTGTCTTCATCAGTGTAGACAGGAGAGAAGGGCAGAGCTGCCCAGGCTGTTAAGCTTGCTCGTTCACTGTGCTTCCAGACCCCTACGGACCACCCTCCATTAGTGACTAACGAGCCCCGTGGTTCAGAGCCCAGACTCTGGAGCCAGCCTGTCTGGGTTTGAATCCCAGCTCTGCCACTTACGAGCTGGGTGACTTTGGACAAATTACTTCCTCTCTCTGTGCTCTAGCTCCTGCATCCACAAAATGAGTGTAGTAACTGTTCTATCTCTTAGGGTTGATAGGAGAATTATGTCTATTGGTATGCACACCGTCTGAAAGCAGTACGGATCCATAACAGTTAACTAGTAAACAAGTTGACACAAATGAGCCTGACCAGTGCAGGATTTTCGGGGGCCCTTGAAATGTTTCATAGGGGCTGCTGCTGCTGTATTGTGTACACCCCCCCCCTTTTTTGAGAGGGAAAGAAGATTCAAGTTAAAGAGAAGACTTTCATCTCCTTAGCTGAGATCTCATGCCAGTGAGGTTCCATGCTCTGCCTCCCAGGGCTAACGCAGCGAGCCAGGTAACTTTCCGAGTGTGGGAGTATCTCCAGGTCCTAACTCAGAGCTAAAGAAAGGCCCAAGGATTGGTCAGTTACTTCAGGTGACCGAGGTGATCAGGGCTACCTCTAAGCAAGAAGGCCACCAAGAGTAGGGACCAGGGGGACATTTGAAGGACTGATGAAAAAACAGTGTTTCAGTTATGCAGAGTTGAGAAAGGCATCATGTCCAGTTATTATAAAGTATCTCACATTTTATTTATTTATTTGGTTGGCAGAGCTTGCATTCCTGGCATTTTTGGTTGGTTTGTATTGCTGTTTTTTTGTCTATGTAACTTTTTTTTCTTTCTTAAAGAGACCAGACCACCCTGTAAGAGGATCATAATCCCCGCCCCCCCCCACCCCCAACCAGGAGACAAACCAGCCCGTGGTCAGCCTCCCAGAACCCAGCTTGCTCTGGGCTCCAGCAAAATCTCTGTAAGACAGAGAGCTGGTTAGTGTCGGTCCGGATTTTTCAGGAAAGCGGGGCTCTCTCTTTCAAAGAGCACAGATAACTCTACAATGGCTATAGCAACAGCATAATTCCGGACGTCTCTCTGGTTTGTGGAATGAATAACCCGTGGCTATAGTGGTATCCCATGGGCCTGGCATTGATGGTAGATTCTTGCCATTCTCAAATGACAAATTATGGGGCCTACATTATGTACCTGGCACACTCACATCAAATAACACTTTTTTACCCTTCACACTAACTCAGGTGGGGAGAGCTATTATTTTATCTGTATTTTCAGATGAGGAAAGTGATAGTCAAAGAGATGCAAAATCCGACCAAGGCCACACTGTTAGAAACTTACAAATTGATGAGCTGTTGTAGGCATTTTATACCTGAAATGAAAAAAGCATGTTATTCATGGTAACTCTGGAAATTTAAAAGGACATATGTTTAAAACAATTACACACATATGTATGTAATATATGTGATATGTAATATATATTTGTGTATATACAATTACAATTATATATGTAAACAATTACATATGTATATGTATGTATACATACAAAGGGGGCATATGAGGAGGCAGTGATGATGGGTTCTCTGGGGGTTGAGAAGGTGCAGGGCTCCCTCTGGGCTTAGGGAGAGGCAGTGGGCATTCTCCAGGCCCGCCCGTCCAGTTGTGGTGCCTTAGGAAGGCACTTGAAGGTTGGAGCTATGCTTGCCTCAGATCACCAAGCAGAGAACCTGGGTTCTTGTTTTTCCAGTGTCTTCCAGATGTACTTCTCTCTCTCGCAGGTGGGGAGACGATTATGTTCACTTCCAAGGTCA